AGAAGATGGTTGGAGGGTCGTCGTGGATAGAATTCGCCGAATGATGACGACTAAGAAAGAGTGACATTCAAGACAAGGCACTTACCAATAAAGCCTTTTGAAAGTAGTTGTGTATTCATGTAACTCAAGAAAGTTACCAATACTCGCACTTTATGGATGCTTGAGGATCTAAAATTGGCGGGGTTATTGATAAGTGGATAGCTGTCCCACTTTCTACCTAGTCGTAGCAGTCAATTGAATGTTTTACTCCGTATCGCACCATGCGGGCAACGGGATGCAGAATCAAGGCTGGTGGGTGGGTGAGTTGGTGAGACTGGAGTGAAGAGAATGATATTTCAAAGAAATGTCATGAGCAGATTCAGATATGATGAGCCCTTCTGTCCGTCGACCTTTATGCCCAAAGGTAACCCAACATCTGCTGTGTAAATGGAATATATGTTTATTGATTGTACGTGTTTCTGATGGGCTTGGTATGTACGGAGTGTTGAGGCAATGGTAGTTGCAAGCAGCGCAGTAATGACATCCGAGGAAGCCAATAGATACATCTCATCCCATCCCATCCCGACTCTCGGGCATCACTTGAATTCACTGCTGTTGCCAAAAATAAACAAAAGAGTTGATGCCTGATACTTTGAGTGGATGTATACATGGTAAGTGTAAGGCAAAAAGTCTTAAGTAAGCACGTAAATATGGTAAGGCTACAGAAATTTAAGGCATTAATGACTTATCGAATCACCCAGGTGGTCCAAGCCAAGCTAGCTCTTCTCATTCATTCGCGTCGTTCTTGTCGCCTTGTTGCATCGTTGTAGAAGGCTAAAAGAGCATCCAAGCTGTTGCTATCCATTACAAACAAAATATACCACCTTTCTCAACTTCAACCACCACAACTACAACCGAATATTTCTTATCAAGGATCTGGATCATACGAAATCCTATACCGTCATACTGAAAGCTTCTTGATTTACCAAGAACAAGATGGTAAGCTTCCAACCCATGATTTGTATGAGCGGCAATATTAACATAATCTCAAAGGGTCAACAACCATCCGGCCTTGGTGGTAATCAACCAGGTGGAGATGGAAAAGATGACAAGTCTAAGAAGGTATATATACGCATTCGTAATAATGATAGGAAATGGACGATGGACTGATTGCCCAACAACAGAAGGATAAGCCAAAGTACGAACCACCACCAAGACCAACAACCAGAATCGGTCGCAAGAAGCGTAAGGCTGCCGGTCCAAACGCTTCCGCAAAGCTACCAGCCGTCTATCCGACGTCTCGATGCAAACTACGATATCTTCGAATGCAACGAATTCACGATCATTTGCTCCTCGAAGAAGAATATGTTGAGAATCAGGAACGTTTGAGAAAGGCCAAGGCTGCAAAGGAAGGAACAGCAGCACCCGCCAATGCTGGTGGGGATGCAGATGCTGTTGACAGAAATGCCGATGAAAGAGGTCGTGTTGATGATATGCGTGGTAGTCCAATGGGTGTTGGAACTTTGGAGGAAATGATTGATGATGATCATGCTATCGTTTCGAGTACCACTGGACCGGAATACTACGTCTCTATCATGTCTTTTGTTGATAAAGATCTCTTGGAACCGGGTGCAAGTGTCTTGCTGCATCACAAATCCGTTTCGATTGTTGGTGTTCTTACTGATGACACGGATCCTTTGGTTTCAGTGATGAAGCTCGACAAAGCTCCAACGGAGTCTTACGCAGATATTGGTGGTCTCGAGTCGCAAATTCAAGAAGTGCGAGAATCGGTCGAATTACCTTTGTTACACCCCGAATTATATGAGGAGATGGGTATCAAGCCTCCCAAGGGTGTTATTCTCTATGGTGCGCCAGGTACCGGAAAGACTTTACTGGCAAAGGCGGTTGCAAATCAAACAAGTGCGACATTCTTGCGAATTGTTGGTAGTGAGTTGATTCAGAAGTACTTGGGTGACGGACCTAGACTTGTTCGACAACTTTTCCAGGTATGCATATTTTCAATGTTCACTTTAGGTAAGACGAATACTAATATTTATAGGTTGCCGCCGAAAATGCACCATCCATCGTCTTCATTGATGAAATCGACGCGATTGGTACTAAACGTTACGAATCTACATCCGGTGGAGAACGTGAGATTCAAAGAACTATGTTGGAGCTTCTTAATCAACTTGATGGTTTCGATGATCGTGGAGATGTTAAGGTTATCATGGCTACAAACAAGATTGATACTCTCGACCCTGCTCTCATTCGTCCGGGACGTATTGATCGAAAAATTCTCTTCGAAAATCCTGATCAGCATACTAAACGCAAGATCTTCACTCTTCACACATCTAAGATGTCCTTAAACGAAGATGTCGATTTGGAAGAATTCATTAACCAAAAGGATGATCTTTCCGGTGCTGATATCAAGGCCATCTGTTCCGAGGCTGGTTTGATGGCATTGAGAGAGCGTAGAATGCGTGTCCAAATGGCTGATTTCAGAGCTGCAAGAGAGCGTGTCTTGAAGACAAAGAGTGAGGGCGAGCCTGAAGGTTTGTACTTGTAGAGGAGAGATGGGCGATGAGATGAGGGAAATGTACGATGAGCTAGAGCGCATGCTTCTTTTGGTAGCTCGTGTATTCTAGATATCTATGGTTAATGAATGCATTTAATTGCTCGACAAGAATTTGCTGTTTAATTTTTTCTGTTGTTCAATATAGCGGTGCATCATGTCTGTTGAATGATCTCTGATTAAATTGACACCAGAGATGTGTCATAATGACGCTATCTCGATCAGTTCTGTGTTTTCCATGTTGATACACTGAGCCTATATGTGATACAAAATTCGCCAATTTCCAGTCAAGTGGCCAAACCCTCAGCGTACTAACCTTTCCACTCGCAAAACAAACATCGACGCAGACATCGATGTAGATTCATATTTTAGAAGATTCACAATATCTTCTCTGATAAGTGGGGATGTTAGTAGTGTATTTTGGGATATTATTTGGATACTTGAAGGGTTCTCGTTGGGTCTTGATAGTGGTGTGTGGGTAGATGGTTGGTGGTTTGTGGTTTGTGAGATTAATGGTGTTTTTGATGATGGGGAGGGATGTTAGGAGAGGGTTTTGAGATAGTTTTTGGGGGTGTTGAGATTTTGAAGATGTTTTGGGCTTCGTGTTGGGTTTTGATGGGGTTTGATGAGGTTTGTGTAGATAGATAGTGGTAGTGGTAGTGGTAGTGGTAGTGGTAGTGGTGGTGATAATAGTAGATGAGTATTTATGTAGGTAATGTTAATTTTGGAATTAGTTTTGGGTATTAATTTTAGTAGTCATGGTAATAGTGACGGTTATGGTGGTAAAAGTATCGCTCTAGGTTCTAATAGATTATCCAATCTAACTTATACTCGAGATGAATGCCTGCCTGCCTGCGTGCCTGCTGTCTTTTTGCTCCTTATGCCTGTGTGTTTGAAGATTTGATTTTTTCGGGGGTAAGTAGATAGATAGATAGATAGATAGATAGATAGATAGATAGATAGATAGATAGGGTGTGAAGAGTTGTGTTTTCGTTTGGGTTTGTGTCTGTTGTTTGTTGGTTTGGATGAGTGGGGATAGGGATGGAAATAAAAATAGAAATAGGGATAGGGATGAGAACAGGGGTTTAGGGGTTTTGATTTATGGTTTATTTGATAAAGAGGTGTATATCAGCAATATAATATCACGAAGCGAGGTTCAAGATGTGTATTTTAGTTACCTTATCTACCCTAATCCAATGATTCATCTCCTATTATGCTTATATTTCACTTTAGTACTATATCGAATTCCCAAGGTCATGTTACAAAGGAATATTCACTGTACCCTGAAATCACCCCTTTAATTTACCGAGATATGGTCAGACGAGCACGTGTTTTGTCAAGTTGCAGATGTTGCTCTCTTGTGGATTGTAGATGCAGTAGTTCGTGGGATATAGCTTGGATATTCTTCGAGATCTTGGATGAATAATATTCATAAGTTGAAACACTCAGACACCCGTGATTGAATGTGCTGGTAGTACCATCATCAGTTTTGGTGTTCATAATGACATGATTAGAACATGGACTATGTTGATACACCTGAGTGTCATCATTCGCATTTTTGGACCTGGTGTATACCAGTACCCAAGATCTCGATGACATTCTAATTCCAGCTTCAGATATCACGACGCTGCAAATAGCTTGCAAACCTACGTCACTTAATGAACTGATACCGAAATTCATTTCAAGTAAGGTGCGAGCAGCTTTGTAGTCATTTATAAATTATTCCTCGGGTATGCTAATCCAATTTTATTAGAATTTTAAGATGTCTGCTGGTAGAATATTCTAAGATCTCAGTTGGGAGCTAGAAGATTGGAAAGCACAAATGGACGATATATATCGCTCCTGAAATGAACGTGGGATATCATCTACATTTCGAATCGTCTATGGTCAAAGAGAGTGTCAGCTCAGACTGTGTCATTTGTCGCATCATCACGAAAGGTCTATAGATGATAATGAAGAGTGACCTGAAGCTAGATGCTCTAGAATGGTATGAAGGAGATCTTGTATTCCATCGTTTCAAGACGCAATTGAAATATCCAGAGCATTAGGTGTCCGTTAAAAATGAATAGATAGCTTTTACATTGTGCAAAACGACTTTAATGACTGGGAGAAAGAGGGTATACTTATGGTTGACATCTACGCCAATAACTAACTAGATCTTGCCGCAACAACAGCTAAGGATAGTACAGCGGGTTGTCTCAATGATCGTGAAACCAGATATTCCTTCCACCGTGTCTCCATAAGTTTCTTTCAGATATCTCATGAAGGTTATGATATTTTGGTTAGACCATGTTTTGAGCCAATTTACCGCCGGCTTACTACCAGTGGGAAACGACGATACAACCACTCGGCTGTCTCTGACAATGATGCGCTACCACTTTTGACCAGAGCCTGGGTTTATCAGAAGCAAATACTTGCTTCTTGTACACTACGTTTTCAACCATCCGAAATGATACTAGAATGCAAGAGTAATCTTTTCTGCGAATGCGCGGGTCTCGAGAAAATATATCCACTATTAGACTCTAACATCAACCAAGATATATTTTCGATATCGGAAAGGGCGGTATTGGATAGATGGCTGAATATAGTGGGGGAATATCGCACGCTGGCTCTAACTAAGCATGATGATCGAGCAATTGCTATTCTGGGCGTAGCAAGAATATGTCAAGGGCGACTCAAGAGCAAATATCTAGCTGGCTTATGGGAGACAGACATTGCTAGGGCTTTGTTGTGGGACGCCAGTCTCCAGTCTGGGAGAATAGTATATCGATTTGACAGACCTACAGCACCAAGCTGATCTTAGATATCACTTATCATGTTTCCAGTGGGAACGGCTGTATTTTATGGCAGACCAACCTTTACATCATTTCAGGTTCACGAATCTTTCAGGTATGAGGGTACAGAAATGTCTGGTGTTACTAACGATTCTCGTACGGCTCTTAGACTTGGTTCAATAAGAGTAAAAGCTGCATACATATCCGCTACACTGATTTACAGCCATCGAAACAGAGGTCCTGGAAGATCAGGTCTTTTCGAAACTTCGCTCTTGGCGGCGGAAATGCTTGGAGAGGTCATTCTAATTATGTGGTCATCTATGGATCTGGATATTTCGGATCAATCATCATCGTCATCGTCATCAACGTCATCATCATCATGAATGTTGATGCAGTGTATATGCTTTCTAATATTGGTGTAAAGCCTGATACCCCTTGATACCTTGATATCATTATTCATGACTATCATCATCCTCAAATTCTAGGTAACAAACTCCATTCCGAAGGCATCAATGCCGAATATGGACAACACGAGAAATGGCAATCTAAAGATTGGATGCGAGTTAATTCCAAAACCGGGGAAAGGTGGGTCCAACATTATGCCGCTTACTACTCGGATGACGCTAAGACGATAGTTGTGGAAAGAGCGGGTGAAAATCACGTGGATGCCTGGTGTTGCCTAAAATCACGAGACGAGGGGTTACTTTCGTGTATCGTCGCGAGTTTCTTACCGTTTTTAATTTGTGTGGCGCGTAGAATTTATAAAGAGATGATTTCTAAATGAATTCTTTCCTTTTTCCATACTCATACTCATCTTCATCTTCTTCTCGATTTCAACTTCATTACAAGAGATACCTCGAAATCTAATAGTGAAAGGATTCTTGTCTTCAGGTTACTTGGTGTCTGTAACTGACACCGCTCGTACCGCATCTTGTCTTGAATTTAGATGAATATTTGGTTTAGACTGTTTCTTTATACATCTATCTTCCCATTGACACACCGTCAAATTTATAGTTCCTCTACTCTCTCAACATCTGAACTAGTATCACCATACCAAATCACCATGGCTTCAGATACTCTCCCTGAACCTCCAGCTCCAATCGATCTCCCAAGCCTTCCCGCACCTATTAAGGATTTTATCCCCTACCTATCTCAAAACCCAACCAAAAATATCTCAACCATCATTGAGCCATACAAGGCCTATGAATCAGAACTTCGTAAAGTTTTTGCCCAACAGCCTGACCATGAAGCCGTCAAAGATGGAGCTGTCAATTTAGTTCCCATCTTCTCTAGCCATGAGAATGATCTCAAGGTCCGGGCTAGAGATCTTAAGAATGAGTCGAAAGAAGAGTCAGAAAAATACATCATGCCATTGAAGGATGAAGAACGTCGACCCAATGGCTCACCAGCTGTCGTTAGATCCATCAAGGATTTTCAGACGAATTTCAACCTTTTTTCCGAATCCTCACTGGCTGATCTTGACTGGAGCAACGTCGTTGCAGCTGGGAGTGCCGTCACGACATCTCTTCTTCCAATCCCAGAGAAATGGGCCGGTAGCAAGAGAGCCATGAGAGAATATTATCACGAGCATTTAGCTCCAGCATCTGATGTTGATCTCTTTCTTTACGGGCTTGCTGAGGCTGAAGGATTGGAGAAGATTAAGCAGATTGAGACTAACATCAGAGATGCTATCCTTCATGAGACGACCACGATCCGCACAAAGAACGCTATCACCATTGCAAGTCAACATCCCACTCGTCATGTTCAGATCGTTCTCAGACTTTATGATTCTATCTCTCAGATCATCACTGGATTTGATGTGGATTGTTCTTGTGCGGCATATGATGGAAAGCAGGTTTACATGAGTCCCAGAGCTGTTGGATCATTCGTTACACAGTGCAACACCATTGACTTGACCAGAAGATCGCCAAGTTACGAAAATCGCTTGAGAAAATACAGTCACAGAGGCTTTGAAGTCCATTGGCCAATGTTGGATCGCTCAAGAATCGATCCCACGATATTTGAGCGCTCTTTTGGTCGCACAGAAGGACTCGCTAGATTGTTGATTCTGGAAAAGTTGCCAAAGACAGTTGTAAGTACTCTGGGTGTGGCCATCGCAATGATCACTTGCTAATCTCAAATCCAGGATCGGGAAAACTACATGGATCAGCGCCGACAAGAACGTGGTAGACCATCTCTCAACAGAGGTTTTCGCAATCAACGTAGATTATATGGAAATTTGAAAGATCAAGAAGAGGACGAAGTCGCAGATTGGGCTGAACAGGATGAGATTGCCAACTATCATACTATGACAGTTCCTTATGGGCAAAAGTACAATGCGGCAAAGATCAATCGTTTGCTGTATGCCAAGGATTTACTTCTGAATGCGGAATGGAACCAAGATAAAGATCGTGAAGTTTATCTACATCGTCATCCATGCTTCTTTGGCACGGCGGAAGAGGTTATTCAAGATTGTTGCGGATACTGTCCAGTTCCTACTACGAACGAAGAGAAGGAAGTGGCTGAGAAGGAAAGCAAGAACAACGTCTCGGGCACTCTCAAGTTTATCACAGACGACCCCGGTCGCCAGGAGATTGGAAGTTTCAATCCTATAAATGACGATGAGTGGACCACTATGAGTTATGTCGGTGATACAGCACGTTTGTGTCAAGCTATCGTGGATGGAGATCTGGAACACGTTCAGGATTGGTGTTCCCAAGAAGGTGTTGATGTCAACCGCCGAGACTTCACTGGACGCACACCTTTACATCTAGCTACTATGACTTCCACTCCAGAGATTGTCAAATGTCTCGTCGATCATGGAGCCAGATTGATAGCTAGACTTGTAGACGGCAGAACAGCATTACATATTGCCGCTGCAAGAGGGGATCTTGAGATGATTCGCATACTCCTGAATAAGAGTATGGCGAATGAAGAGGAGGAGGAAGCGAGGCAGTCTAGTAAGGTTGCATACACTGCATCTGATAACGGAGAGGAATCGGATTCTGCGTCAGAGATTACTCTCGATAGTGAACAAGAGGAAGCTGATGCTCTGACGATGGGAAGCTTTGTCAAGATTCCAGGAAACATGGATGAAGATAAAGATGATGTTGTAAGTCATATTCGTTTTCCCTTCATCATTCTTCCACTAATTAATTTTTCTAGGCTGCAATTATGGACGACTCTATGGAAGACCCTGACATCTATGACATCAACGTTGTCGCTTGGGATTATGGCCTCTCTCCACTTCACCTTGCAATTCTCAATGGCCACATCGATGCTATCAGACTTCTCGTCTCAGAATATGGTGCCGATGTTCTCTTCCCTGTCAAGCTAGTAGAAGCTGGAACTACGAATCCTAGAGGAGCAATCATGACTTTGGTTCTAGCAATGTCTCTGCCCAAAGAAAAGTCAAAGCAAGTGGTGGAGGTACTATTGAATCTAGGGGCAACTTCTGCTCAGTCAGATACAAGCTATTTCACAGCCCTCCACTACATTGTCGCACAAAATAATACCGAAATCTTGGACGTTCTGTTCGCTCATGATCGACCAGCCGCGCAAAGAGTCATCAACAAGATCGGAATTACAGGACACGGATCAGCTGAGACACCACTGTCTACTGCCGTAAAGAAAAATTACGGAGAGATGGCATCCAAACTTCTGCACTTAGGTGCACAACCCCAGTTTGAATTCGAAGATTGGATCAAAGTGTATACGGACACGAATGCTCATGCTAAAAATCAAAATACAGAAACGAATATGAAGCGATTTCGAGAAACAGCACAACAACCCATTCTTGCTGCTATCTGTAAGGAGATTGGCGCTGTTGTTGAACATCTTCTTGCAAAAGGTGCCAATCCACAAACTCTCACAACTATTGCATGGTCAGCGGTAAATAATCCTGAATCACGAAGTTACTATTACAATGCGAGAGAATCTATCCTAGATGTTATTCAACGCAAATTGAAGACGCTTCGAGAATGGAAGGAGCCTGTGTATAATCAATGGCAATTTCGAGAAGACAATCCCGAATCAAGGAAGCCGGAAATTCTTCGACCCGAGACTTTCTATACAGCAGATCTGGAACCGGGTACCTATAAGTACTGGACAGCCTTACAGAACTACCGGGATGAGAAATATCAGAATAAGGTCAAGCATGAAACACACGAGAAGATGCTCAAAGATAAAGAAACTGAACTTGAAAAGTACAAAGATGAGCGCGAAGCAGTCGAGGAAGCAATCAAAGATCTCGAGCAGGCTGAAAAACTCCTCATCGCAGCCGGGGCAAAATCATTCATCGATTTGCATCCCGATATTCCTCAACCGCCCAAGGGCCAAGATAGCTCTTGGCACCACGATCGTTGGCATAAAGTAGCACCAGAACCTTACAAAACACATTTTAGTTTCAATGTCCCGGACCTCAATGATGGGAAGAGACAAGGCTATTTTATGTTGTTTGAAGCTGCTTGGAATAATGATCTTGACGCCATCAAAAATTTGACACTCCAACCTTGGAAGCATGACAACGTTGAATATCCGCCCCTGAGGATTGCGGTTAGCGACGGAAATGAGTTTATGCCTTTCTCTATCGCCGTTCTACGTGGACACTTCGATCTTGCACGTAGGATCGTGGAAATATGCCTTGCTCAATATCATAACGCAGATGATGAGGATGATAAGAAAGGACGTCAACGTTGGGGTATTATGAGTTCTGACGAAGATGATGATGAGTCAGGAGATCTGCCCATATTTTCTGAACTGGTTACTGACAAGTTCACGATTGATGCTCTCGAGGAGGTTTCCAACGTTGTCAAAGGTGATACACTTCCTCTGAGAATGATTGAATGGAAGTGTCCAGCGCATCGATCAACTAGTGATGATGGAAGCTCAGGATCAAGCGGTATGTCCAGTCTGTTTGATTATGCTATCGAGCAGCACGACATGAAAATGTTCAGATTCCTTCTGGACATTGCAGGCGAGCAAAAAGCTTTGATGGCTAAGCATGAAGACGATCGGCGATGCTATAGTTTGGAGACCTCAACTTTCAACAAAGCTCTTTCTAAAGGTAGAACCACAATGATAGCTGAAATGATCAAATACTGCGGATCTGGAGTTCCTTTTAAAAAGCTAGTCTCATCTAGTGGTGTGGAGCTTAAGACAAAGCCAAGATATTATGAAGGTTTGTCGATTGGTGGCAAGAAACGCAGAGATTGGGCACGACCTCCTACTCATATCCAGGATTTTGATTATTTTGAGGGACGATTTCCACCTCTGCTTGAAGCTGCACAAATGGGAAACATTGAATCCGTCGAGTGGTTTATGAGTGATGCTCCAATGAGACATTACAAAGAATTCGCTGAGAGAAACAAGGATGATCTCCGAATTCGAACGTTGGAATCAGGGAAAGGATTTGAAAATACTATTTCAAACTGGTTAGAGATCAATAGTAAGTGATATGATATCTTTGAGAGTTCATGAGTTTACTGACAATATTCAATAGGCGAGCTTATACTCCACGTCGCCATTCTTCACGATCCGGAAACAGACGAAGATAAAGTCAAACACCTCAATCTCATCGAACATCTTGTTTCTGTTCTTCCTGATTCAGTTCTTTCATTGAAATCTGCTCAGGGTTATTCACCTCTACATCTCGCTGTCAACAGAAAAAACATTCCAATTATTGAGTACCTGCTGTCAGCTGGCGCCTCGCCTCGCTCTCGGGATAGACATAACCGAAACATCATGCATACTCTTGCAGCTGATGCTGCAAGCGTAAATAAAGAGACAGTCTCTTGCTTAGAATCTATCATAAAGTTGTTTAACAAGAAGGATGTTCAAGAAATGTTATTTGAGAGATCGGATGACTATCCGGGCGCAGTTACACCTCTAGCTTTATGGATGAGCAAGGCCACCCACTACGATAGCGCTGATGTTATAGAAGTACTTCTCAAGTATTCCACTCGCGAGGAGCTAGAGATGATTAATGGAGAAGGCGATTTGCCGTTACACGTTGTATGTTACTCTTACCCATCCAAATCAAAATCGAAATACTGACACCCATCCAGGCAATCAAAAACAACAGACCAAACCTAACATCCTTCCTCCTCCAACAAAAACCCACTCTCCTATATCGTGAATCAGCAACCGGTCGTACACCCCTCGAAATGTCGCATGATAAATATATCTCTAAGTTCATCTCTAATCCTCCGTCTGTTAACAATCATTGGCAATATCATCCGAATAATCTTCATGGGGATACTTTAAGTGCGTATCGTGCGAAGCAGAAACGTGATGCAGCTCCATCTTATCAAACACATTCTCTGATCTGGGAGGAATGTTTGAGGGTTCAGGGAGACTTGAAGAGAAAGTTTGATAATGATGAAAGTGAGAATGGTGAGGAGAAGACAAAGAAGGAGTTTACTGGAAAGAGAAGATTGGTCAGTTTGTTTGAGGCAAATGAGGTGGCTAGGAGATTGGCGGGAAATCGTAATGGAAAGGGAAATGAAGCTACGCAAATGGATGTGGTTGGTCAGTGGATGTGATTTTCTCGAAGTCGAAATATGATATTGTGCATCTGAGAATGAAATGGGAATGCCAAGTTGTGATGATGGCTAATACGTATGGGTTATGGGATGAGTTTCCATAAGATTTTATACTATAGTATAGCTGAACTGGCCGACTGGCTTGGCCTGGGGCTTATGTCATTCAGAGCATAGCTAGTACGCGCAATGCAAAAATATTACAGGCCATTCAAAAACTCTAAATTCAATTTTGAGACTCCATTTGTTCTTTTGAAACGACTGATAATTTCTTGGATTACATAGCACAAGGCAATATATCTCGTAATGAAAAATTGGTTAGATCTTCTGACTAATGTGCCTAGGTGCACAAAGTAAGACGAAGATACTCTTGTACTTCAGAGATACAAGTTGCTAAGTAGTACAGAGTTCTGAGCCTCAGCAATGCATGAAAAATACAATACATATCATCCTTACTCAATACATCTCTTTGAATCTCCGAAACTTTCCTCAAATTTTCACATGCATACGTAGAGGCCTTGGAATATAGGTATCTTTCGTGTCTATATTCTCAATGTCTGGATATCCTCGAATGGTTCCTGGAGCTGTATACTGTTCGTTTGGTCTATTGTAAATATGTTATGGATATGAGTTTAGGGATACGTGATTACTGGCATTTAACTGGTGGTTAGGAGAAATGATGTGAAAATTTTCTTTTTCGAGGGAGGGTGATGTACGCTTAGTACTAGCAGGGAAGAGAACAGATTGGAATCGAATGAGATCAGGGTGATCGGGAGATAGTTGCCGGCTTGGTAGGGGTTAAAATATTTGGCCGGGTTGGTGTTGTGTTATGTTAATTTTGATGCGGTTGGTGTTGGTATTGATGTTGGTTCTAACAATGATTCTGTTTTTGGTTTGTGGTTTGAATATCTGGAAATGTTGGTTTGTGTAACTTTCTTTGTGGTATTGATACCTACCGAGTATATTACTGCATCTTATTATTACTTTTTTCGTAAGCTTCTAAACTGTTAAGTTTTATTCTCCAAATCATTTATCAAGTCTGATTTTTGTCTTCTACCAAAATGTCTACAGAAACATTCGATATCATCATTATTGGCGGTGGTACTTCAGGCCTGGTTTTAGCCAATCGTCTTTCGGAAGACCCGAATCTACAGATCGTCGTTCTGGAAAGTGGTGAAGACCGTAGCGCAGATCCAAATTCTCTTACTCCGGGTGCTTGGCCATTGCTGTCACATTCTCCAGATAACTGGACATTTCAAACGGTTCCTCAGAAAGAAGTCCCTAGGGATATCATAGTTCCGCAGGGAAAGGCTCTGGGAGGCTCGAGTGCGATCAATAGCTTCCTCTTTACCTCTACATCTAAGGCGACAATAGAGGAATGGAAAAATTTGGGTAATGAGGGATGGGTCTATGCTGCGTATGAAAAGGCTTTGAAGAAGTCGTATACTCTGCATAAGCCCTTTTGTGTGACTGAAGGCAATGGACCACTTCAGATTACCCTTGCTTCGCCCGAAACTCTTTGGCAGAAAGCTTGGATTGAAGGTCTAGAATCCGTGGGATTCCCAAGAACTGATCCCCTTTCTGGTAATCTTGGCGGACCAAATATTTCTCCTGAGAGCATCGATCCTAAAACAAAACAGAGAAGCTATGCTGCTAATGCATATTTGGATCCAATTCGAAGTCGACCAAACTTGACTATTCAGACCAATACGAATGTGACTAAAGTGTTGTTTGAAAAATCTTCATCGGCTAGTGATGCTCTCGCTACAGGCGTCGAGTTCATCTCTAGAGATGGCTTATCGCAAAGTATCAAAGCTCGCAAAGAAGTCATAAACTGTGCCGGCGCCATCAATTCACCTCGAATTCTTGAGTTGTCTGGAATAGGCGACGCGGATTTACTTCAGCGCTTGGAAATCGATGTTGTGGTTGACAATCCACACGTTGGCGAGAATCTCCAAAACCATCTTTTCACAGGACTTACATTTGAAGCGCGCGACGATGTTGAAACAATCGATGCTTTTTTCCGCCAGGAGCCCGATGCTGTTGCTGTTGCTATGCAGGAGTATGCCACAAAAGGAACGGGCTATTTGAGTACCAGTAATATCACGACTATGGCTCAACTTCCATTACCTGAATTCCACACAGAAGCCGGACGCAAAGAACTCGATCAGTCATTAGCTGCGTCAAAATTCGATTCAGATTCTTTTCAATCTTCCCCAACTACATCCACCTTCGCAGCCGCACACGAAAAATTTGTACGCTCCGTTATCACAAATCCCTCAGAAGCACTAGGAAACTACGTTTTCGGCTCAGGCTATGCCCCCTTCGATGCACCCAGCCCAAGCTATCGCGCCCCAGGTAAACACATCTCCATCGCCATCGAGCTCTCTCATCCTCTGTCCCGGGGCAGCGTCCACATAACCAGTTCCCTACCCGAACACACCGGCACCAATACAGGCATCGCCATCAACTCCCGCTATCTCACCTACCCCCTCGACATCGAGATTCTCTCCCGCCAACTACGCTTCACCGAAGACATTATCAGTCGCGCGGAACCTCTCACGCGGTATTTGAAATCATTCTCGAAACGTTTTGCAGATCTAGATATCGCGAAAGAATATGTAAGGCGCACAGTGGATGGCGCGTATCACTATACGGGAACGTGCGCAATGATGTTGAGGGAGATGAGGGGGTGTGGTGGATAGTCGGTTGAGGGTTTATGGGTGTAGCAATTTGCATGTGTGTGATGCGAGTGTGATTCCTGTGGAGCCGACGGCGAATCCGCAGGCGGTGGTTTATGCGGTTGCGGAGATGGGAGCGGGGTTTGTGAGGGAGGAAGGAGTGTGAGTTTGGGGTTGAATGATGGGATTGTGATTAAATGTTGCTATCTATTGTTGGGAAGTTTTGAAGGTTGACTGGAGTGAGTGGTAAATTATTAAGTAAGCTCTGGTACAGCATTTACGGAACATCATCTTGATAATTGCATCTCTGTCTTTCTTTCAATAGTACTACCTGCCCTCCAAATATTAAAACATGTAGAGCATATGTCAGTACATACAATTCTGTATAGATTAATGATGCCCTCTTGAAACTCTGACACTTTCCAAGTCCTAGCTGAAAGTATGTAGAGAAGTCCTTCAACAATTAAAACAAGCGTCAGTGATACAATGTTGACTCCCAGTATGAGTATGAACAAAACTTGTGATCACCACTTTACTGTATTTATAAGAAGGAACTCTCATGTGCTTAACGTAGCTGCTCCAAAAAGATAGAACAGGAAAATGTTAGTGAAGACAGATGCTGAATATTAAGTTGAATATTCTGATCTTTGAAAGAAATAGAATTTTCTATGACTGCGACTCACTCGGTGTATATAACTGTATTCTCGGATTCCATCATTTGAATCCCAATCATGAATTGTCAAATTGTGAATCTGTCATAATCAGCCTACCTCTAATCCCTTTCAATTTTCAACACTCCTAAGAACAAAGTCTACAAAGATTTACCTCCCATCTCGTTTCCCCTCGGTCCTCTCCTCAAGTCCAAACTCAGTCTCCAAAACCTTCCTCAACTTCACCTCTCTCTCGCAAAACGACAAAATAAATGCCAAAATCGGAAACACCATTCCAATCAAAAAAACTCTACTCAGCGCCTTTGCAAAAACCCCAATAATCTGACTCCTCGTCGGTTCAGTAGACGACTCTATAAACTCGCGCGTCGCACTCGAATACGAATTTCCATTCTGCAGCGCTAATTTCGCCGTAGGATCCGTTATCACCTCATAAGCATAACGAGTACTATATATATTAAGCACAGCACCTGGAATAGGCACGCCCCAAATATTACCGAAGCTGCGCACGAACGACCAACTTGCCGTCACGGCAGCGGAATCTACTTCTGCGACGCCGGCTTGGACGGCGGGGAGGAGCGTATCGAGAACCATACCTGCACCGACAGATGGGAGAATTTGGAGACAGATCCACTGTGCTGTGCTTGAAGATTTGGTGAGGGTGGAGAGAGAATCGATTCCGGCTGCGAGAAGCGCAAACCCAGTGATGTGGAAATGTTTGTATTTTCCCCATCTGGAGAGAGCGAGTGCGCCGATTGCGGCGCCCGGGATGGCGATGAGGGTTATGGGAAGGATTTGCACGCCGGAGCGAGTGGGGCTGGAGAGACGGACGGCTTGGAAGTAAAGTGGGAGGAAGAAAAATATCCAGTAGTTGAGTATGGAGATTATGAAGGTGTTGATGTAGATTATTATTGCAGTGCGATTTGCGAAGAGGCGGCGGGGCCTGGGGATGTTTGGAGTGAGTTAGTGTTGTGGGTTTGTGAAAAAGATGTTAGATAAGCGACGAGAAGAAACCCTGTTTCTCTTTGAATGGAGGGCGAACATTTCTTGAATTGTTGATAAAGCCATGATGAAGGAAAATAAAGACTACAGGGGACATACATTACAGGCTCTACTATCCACCCAGAACTCTCCACCCAAAAGAATCCCACAAGTCCGACAAGCCCAAGGATAAGCGGGACAATAAATCTAAAAGATGACCAGGCATACAAAGATCCAGCCCAAGTCAACGCAATAAGTATCGATACCGTAGATACCACCAGAAGGCCATTTCCTATCACATCAATCCGTCTAAGTCTAACCCAAACATCCAATTCCCTATCCCACTTAACCCTAAGAAACCACCACAAAAGCACAAACGACACCCCACAAATCGGAGGATTAATATAAAACCCCTAAAACCCCCCAATTAGCCAGAAACAAAGCATCAACAAACCCCATAAACAACATATCCATCTCCACACCGTCCTCTGCACAATTACCCCCCCAACAACCGGTCCAATCGCCATGCCAAACGCATACGTCCCCGCCAAAGTCGCCTGATACGCACTCCTCCAACGCAGCGGCACCAGATCCGAAATCACAATCCCCATAATCGCAGTCATGCCTCCACTTCCCGCACCTTGTATTGCACGACCAGCGATCAACATTGCTGAGGTATTTGCACCCCCGCAGATGCCGCTACCGAGTGTATACAAGGCGACGAAGAGGAGCGCGATGTGTCTTCTGCCGAAGAGATCGGCTAGTTGACCGGTTAGAGGTTGGGTGACTGCACTGTGGTTTATGTTTTGTTTAGTGGACGATTTGGAATTGATATGGATGGATGGATGGATGGATGGATGGATGGATGCGATGGGTATCTTAAGCTCGATCAATAAATTCAAAGTGCGGAAATATCTTACCCAGTGAGGAAAAATATGTTGGTCACCCAGATATAACTACTCCCCAGATCCAAATGCTTCACAATCGTCGGGAGAGAAGTCACCACAACGGTATTTTCAAGCGAACGCAGGATTTGCATTGTGCAGAGAGCAATCATGATGCACCAGAACCTGTAGTCATGATTGAAGATATATTCAGATGGTGGCTCGGTTTCGATTTGGGTAGGCTGCGTGTTTGTTTCTGTGGAGAGTGATTCCAGGATCACGGAAGGTTCGGGGGGAATCTTGGTTTCGGACATGTTTATTTGGAAGAGCGGGATGTATTCGTTTTTTCTTTTGAGGGAGAGACGATGTGATGAGGTGGAGGAGAATAGATCCGTGTCGTGTAGTTTTTCTTGTGTAAGAGACTAGCTACACCTCAAACAACCTACCTAAAGCTAAATAAACAAAAATCCCTCAAGTCCCCGCGAAAAGAAATTCTTATCTTCCACTGTCTAGGGCATTTCATCCAGCACTAGAAAAATTTTCATTCCCGATAACTTTTCAAATTCAAGTATCCGTCAGAACCTAAAATTCCAACAAACATTTGGTGCTAATCCTCGCTTAGCACCAATGCTTCTTAGCCCTGGAATTATCAGGTACCTACACATACTATCCATACATACACCAGCACAAAAACAACAGACAGAAACAAAAGTGAACGCATTGTAACTCAAATAAGAAAAGACCCCTGAAGTCCATAACTCTAGAACATCATCACACCACCAAAACAACAAATGACCAACCAACCAACCAAATCATCTTACCACTCCAAATTCCAACATCGGATTCCTTAGTATCTAAAGCTTCAAATTCATCTCAAACTGTATTTCTAGTACCTAATTCCACCTACATTAATCAGAATCTCCTACCTGTCTCTCTCTATAGAGACTCTTCCCCGTGACTGACTACCGAAGATACGTCGTAACAACTGAATAAGGGTAAGAATATGTCGACTTTGCTTTTGCTTTATCGCGTAATCTCGACGAGTGTAGAGGTTTATTTATTACAATCAAATGTAAATGAGAATTTTTTGAGTCTAAAGTTCTTAGACTTTTATATTTATATATTCTAGGGTTATAGTGATGATAGTTTGATAGTTAACTAATAGTATCACAGAGTTTGAGATAATCACATTCATATTTTGAATAAACCCACCCGAAATCTCAACCTATCTTTTACCTACTAGAATATTTATATTCCAAAGATTAAAATTACTGAAAATTAGGTAGTAGTCATAACCTATCTCTGGATATATACCTACAAGCAAAAACACGAACCACACCTTCACACACGCATTTCCTGCAGTGCATCTATAGTCGCCAAAACTTGCCGATCTCGCACCAACCTATCCCGTAACAACTCTATAACAAGAGCAAGCTCCCCTTGCTCGGCGACAATCTGCACGCGCCAATCCTTCTTCACTGCATCAATCGTCTGCTTCAAGGTCATCTCTTCAAAAGCGTGGATTTCTTTCGCGTCCTGTACATCCTGAAGAGCGCGATAACACGTCTCACACAAATCGTGGTCAGGACATATTGTGCAATGCCATCTTCTGCCGGGCAGAGGAGTTCGTTGACAAGGACCATCGCATTGGGTACTCTGATGTAATGCTACCAGATATGCGAGATCTAGAGCTGTTTGACCATTGCTATCTTGTATGCTGATATCGATGGAATCACGATCGAGTAGTAGTTCGACGGCACTGAGATTTACGGCATCAACAGCTACATGTAGTGGGGTACGACGGAAGAGAGCCTCGCTAGCGCGTGCATTGATGAAATCATCAGAGGAGCCGAAATGCTGCAGCAGCTCATTTAGAATATCCCGATTCTGAGCAAAATCGTACTGAGTACGTTGGTATGCGACAGCAGAAGATTCTCCATCCGGAATACGATCAAAGATACCTTTGTGTGCTCTGGCAGCAAGATGAAAGGCTGTAAGTTGACGCTGTGGCTCGACTATGAACATAGCAGCGCGATCTTGAGCAGCTTGAGGTTGATTGAAAATGAGTTGCATTTGAGCTATGGATCCACGTGCTGCAGATGCGATGAGATGCCCGAGGACGGTAGTCGGTTGTTCGAGAGTGATGAAGCCCGATGAGATACATGTTGCGTTTATATTCGCGCCCCTCAATAACAATTCTCGTGCGAGATTCAACGCATTGTTCTTCAATGCTACCAAGAGCGGTGTTTCAAGATCAGTAGACTCATTGAATTGAGCATCTACCTCGATACCAGCCTCGACGATCTTTCGCACCAAGGTGAGGTCCGAATTATGACCAGCGTATGCAAAGGCATGTAGCGCGCTCCAATTAGTCTTGCTGCCATCAAAGGGATTGCGACTTCTGGCATGTATATCTGCACCGCGGGTGATGAGCAAATCGAAAATCTCATGGTGATTCCATCGTATGCACTCAATTAGAGGTGTTCGCAGCTCAATACCACAAGGATTATTGATATGTTCCTCGGAGAAAACACCATAGCGTGGTATAGGCATATCGTCTTCATCATCGACCACAGTTCTTAATCGCGCCCTGCCTGCACGAAGAAGTGCTTCAGTTTCTGGCGCCAGCAGGTACTTAACGACCAGGTCGCGGCCTTCAGATATCGCGTAGTAGAGTAGCGTATAACCGAAACCGCCTAATCCAGTTCCGAATGATGCACCGTGAGTTTCTTCCAGCAGGTAGTCCAACGTATCCTTCATTCTTTCCAAATACTGAACTCCATTTCGGAAGACCATCGAGAACATATCTGCACCGTGCACTGCAGCTTTGAGAAATTCTTGATACGTGAAATTAAGCCTTTGTGCTTTCATGGCAACGATCATTGCCTCGAGACAATGCTGATGATGATATTTTGCTGCCCACTCAAGTGGAGTTGGATCATTGGGTGCGTTAATCACGCACATATGTGCGGATTCGGGTTGGCTAAGCAGAAACTTTATGATGTCCGGCCGGTCGTGATGTACAGCCCACGTCAATGGCGTTCCTGGTGGCAGGTTATCAAAGTCAATGCCGGATGGGAATGCGCTGTAGTTGATCTGTTTCGTGGTGAGAGACTTCACCTCCGCACCTGCAGATATCAAAGCTTGTCCAACAGCATGTACTTCGTCCTCATTGAAAGAAATAAGCCAATGAAGCGGTGACTCCTTCGAGCTTGTAGTGATTTTCGGGTCTGCCCCACGACTAAGGAGTAATTCAACAACATCTCGATGGCCAGATCGACATGCAGAAAGAAGCGGAGTCTCGCCAACATCATTCAATTGGTCCACAGTCAGAGAGGGAAAATTGTCCAACAAAGCCTCAATTGCTGCAAGTTGACCACAACTTGCTGCCATGTGCAAGATTCGATCACCTCGTCTGTTCACCTTGTAATCAGCGATCTCACGGAGATTGCCCAGTTTTATGACCAGGGAAGTCGTGTTACAAAAGGTGTTGATCCATTGACCATGGGTAAAGCCGTGAAGCAGATCATCGCCCCAGAAGGAAGCACCCACTCCTGCGAGACCTGCCTTGATAATTCTCTTCGCCTCCACCGCCCTTTCCGGTGCGATGATATTCAGATCTTGAAGCGCACCACGTGAACCACTGAAAGCCTGCCGCTCGAGGATCTGCTGCGGAGAAATGACTGTCGCGAGTTCTGTCTCAGTCACTCTAGCAATTCGCCATGCATTAGCCTGTGCAACTTGGTGTCCATTCGCAGCAGCATGTAGTACTAGCCGCCATGCTTCCTGTAAGTTCGGTTGAGTGCCGAGGCCGTTCATATAGAAAGACGCAAGCACAAAGCACTCAGGAGTGTTGACTTGATTGTGAGACGCAAATTCATCAGCTCGCGCACGGAAGCGCTCAAACAAGAAGGTTTGAACAGATGGCTGGAGGTCTTGTACTGCTTGCCACGACATGATATGATGGTTGAAGCTTTGGCGTAGGAGCGTGTCTTCGCTTAGCTCCTCCGTGTTATCCTCGCCCCCATTGGAGTTGGACAAGGTGGATATGGCAACAGACAGATTTCGCTCTTCGGGGGCTTTCGATAAACATGCTGCCAAAACCGTATTCAACTTGCCATAAAAACCGTCCAATAGCGCCGTAGTCACAAGGTGCTTGCCGATATCTTTGAATAATGGTTGATTACACATTCCAAGGCAATGGAACAGCCAAAACACATACTTCAGAAACTCTAGTCCTTGGCTTGTATTCATGTTTCCCGTCTGTAAAGCCGCCAGCGCTTTCTGAGAAAGCTGCGTCACCTGATCCGTGGGAGGTAAGGCGCCGCCACAAAGCTTGTCCATGGCATGCAAGGTGAACGATTGATACCAATGATTGAGCTGTGCTCGATCCTTCACGAGGTCGTCGACTTTTAGTTGACTAGTAAAAGCGGCTAAAGTGACCCTCGAGGCTGTAGATGCAGATCCATGGAGTACTGAGAATGGATTACTTCCGTCCATGGCAATACGCCAAACAATGAGTCCGTACGAGTAGACGTCAGTCTTTGCGAGATGCTCACGCGCGACTGGTTCATACGACTCTGGCGCTCGCCACGGCATTGTTCCACCAATATTGACACGAGGAGCTGAGGCCTCGCCCACAATCGAGAAGCCAAAATCACCAAGCTTTGCCACGTACGTCTTTTGCGGATGAGAGAAGATGAGAACGTTCTCGGATTTCATGTCACCGTGAATAATGCCACAGCGATGAAGAACCTGTAGGCCATGAGCAATATCAAGGCTGATGGTGCGTTTCACTTCAGATGTGAGGATCTCTCTAGCCTGAAGATCAGCCAGATTACCCTGGTCAGCATACTCTGTGACAATGACTGGGAGTCGATAGGAGGATTCGAAAGGATTCGTGCCCCAACCGAGTGCAAGCAACGTCACAATGTTGGCGTGCTCATAAAGAGGTGGGTGCATGAGTGCATGAATCTCCATCATGACCGCGTTCATAGCTCTGCGGTCCTTAGCGAGTGGCTCGCCCAAGTTGCTAAATGCGACCCTCGCTGTCTTGTACACCAGCGTCCTTTCGTCATGCTGGCCCTGCCTAGTGCCGAAAACCGTCCCAAAAATGCGTGTTTCAAAGACAAAGCCTTCTGATCGGGGCACCTGCTTGCTGTATACCTCAAAGGACGCACCTTGACCCAGGAATTTGGACTGGTCAATAGCTTGTGCACCCAAGTACAGCTGCATGGCGGGTCGTACGACGGAGAGCTGCGCTCGTCTCCCCATGTAGACGAGATCAAAAACATTGGGAACAAAGGTTGCCTCAACGGCTATGTTCTTTGAAGATATTTCTGGTGTCGGCTCAGCCTCATCCGAGGTCGCAGGTCTCGAGGTCTCAGGTCTCGAGGTATCAGGCTGACCTGAGAGTGTGCTGGACATGGCTGGGCGCCTCAATAATCTGGTATGACAGGTCTGTCAACCTATACCAAATGAAAAAGCCGATAGCGCTTTGTCTGTTATATATGGCAGGAAGTGTAAGCAGCAAGCTCGGACCCTGGTAGACCTTGTTAAACACGTGACGCAGGATGCAAGCAGATAAATAGCAGCTAGCTTTAACAGGCAGTCAGACGAGAAGAATTGTGCTACAGCGCTCCTCTCTTACAGGTTTAAAAATCCATGTTTTGATGCTATGGAATGGGAGAGCTCGTCCGCACTAATTGTTACAAATTACGACCCGAAGAGAGAGGTATGCTTTAAAACAAAGTCACTTCAGGAGAGTGAGGTGCTGTAAAGCGACACAAGTTATGTATGCTTATCTAAGTCAAAGATGAGTGAAGACGAATCTTTGTCAACGCAAATGTGAATTGTAAGATAACTTTCTTCAGATAACAATTTATGATAGACTATTTAGGATATTAGTTGAAGTATAAATAGTTCAAACGAAGTAGCAGTCTCATGAGTCTCATCACGCCACAGCTCGAGACTATCGTAATCATCTGACCCGTGATTCTTGTTACGAGGGGTTCTGTAAAGTAGGTACGCTTCTAACCCTCAACTCATACGCAAATTCGCTCGAGATTTCGAACGAACCGAAGCAGATCTGGTAGCGTATCGGGGCATTCATCGGGGGATGTCATCCCATACTTCAGACAGGTATGTGCGACATCAGCATAAATATCACCCATGCGAAAATTGAGCTTGCGTGTAGCAACCACGTGTTTGTCCAACCATTTTGGGATTTCGGCAATGCTGTCAAGTCTCACGCCAACATTGCTGTCTATTTTCCTTACCTCGACGCATTTTGCAACGATATGCTTCAGGGTTTTCCACTCCGCCAGTTCCAGCAGCAACAAGCCCAGACTGTACATGTCCATGTGCTTCTGGAAGGACGTCGACGGCTCGCCTAATGCATGAGGATGGCGATATATGTCTTCCAATGGTTCTTGCGATGGCTGCTCCGAGATCTCGCTTGGTGAGTCCTGCCTTGCGAAGCTGAACCCCGTGACGTATGGCATGGACCAGCCATTTTCTCGAAAGAACATGACGTTGTCGGATCGGATATCTTTGTGCAGCCAACCAGCAGTATGAAACGCTAGTAATGTTTTGCAAAGCTCTCTGGCCACCTGTAGACGATCCGTGATACTGATTGAAGCAAAATTTTTAGAGTCGCGGATTAGCTCGGTCAATGACATAGCGAATCGTGTCTCCCCCGATATCTGGCTGATGGAAGACTCGGGCCATTGGTATATAAAGACAAACCGAGCTTCCTCTTCAAGATATCCCTGACATCGCAATGTGTGAAAAGAAGGATTCTTCGTCAAAGCAAGCAGTAGCGCAAGGTTCTTGACTCGTGAAGTCAGCTTGCTTTTCAGTCTCTGCGGAACATCTTTGTACTCGATCCACACTGGTTGACCATCGTAAAAGCCTTGAGCCACGTTGACGTTGATTGAAATCTGGGTGACGTTGGTCAACATTCTTCTATTCATGACAGTCAAGGTTGCAGAAGTAGTCGGCGCCTCTATCTTTCCAGCAAGCTCGATGTCTTTAATCTCAATGCGTGTCAACTTGAGATCTGCAGCCAGAGAAACCACATCGTCAGCATACGAGGGAGTAATATTGCTACCGGCAACTCCGGATTGCTGCAAAGCACGCAACTCGCTGACGCTCTGACTGACTTGAATGACCCCAGCAAGGATCTGTCGTAGCATAGCCGAAGAATCTTCTCGTTGTACGGGATCAAGCAAGTTCCACAGACCGTTCACAATGCTGCGTACATCGCAGACCATGTTCTCAAATTTTTGCTTGTCCACTGCCGCCCACCAAAGACGCTTCGGAAGGTGGCTCTTCTGCTGTACAAGTCTTGCCCGGAACAGGATCCGTTGTCGCAAGGTATCTGGCACGAGTTTCTCCAACACTGTCGTTGCCGTCTCGGTCTTCTCAATTAGTGACGTAGTATTGGGTCCAGCGGGGGTATCTGGCATCTCCACCAGATCTAGTTTGTACCGCTGTCGAAGGCCATCCGTGGTCAGAATGACCTGGAGCTGAGCCATCAGTTGAGATGCCAAAGTGTAATTGAGCCTAGGGTCAACCTGTACTTGAACAAGACTTGCTTCGTTCAGCACGGAGTGTGCCGCAATTGAGCTCTGGCTGATCGTACCGTAGCCGTCCTGAGTGGTTACTGTATCATGCTCGAGGTCATTGCCGTTGCTCTCAGCAGACTGCAAATCGGAGTCCTTCAGCAACCCCACAGCTTTCGCCCACTGTATGAAGCGAGACTCTTCCACGCGCAACATAGTTTGGAGAAGAGTTGCATCTCGGCCCAGATTGCGCGCTTTCGCTAGTAGCGTGAAGCCCTGGATGATGCCGCCAAATACCTGGAAAGACAGAGATACCACAGCTAGAGCAGTGCCGGGATCCATTCTCCTGAGCAAGCTGTTGTATTACTGTTGGCAGTTGTATCGAATATTTCGAGGGGCTGGAACAAGAATGCTAATCGCTTGCAGTGCTCTTGATCAAAACAGTGTTATGACTACATATATAGCAGCCCGAGAACCTTAGGCTCAAAGGATAGCTATCTATATCCAATATCAGTAAATCTTATATAGAGATTGTATATTAAAGCAAGGTCGAGATTTCCTTATTGTTAGAATAAAGATAGGAAAGACGTTTACGAATGTTAAATATATTCCATTTGCAAACAACATTCTACTAGAAAGGTATTTATCAGATTCAAAGCACGTGACCGCATTAGCGCTTACGCTAGTACCTCGGCGTTACAGCGTTATACATTTTGTAACCCTAGCTTTCAAAATCTCAAGCAATTACAGCAATATAAACTATAGTATGAATTATATCGTCTTCGCTATCATCATTTTTCCCTTATCCTCCTTTTACCCCTTACAAAATATTATATATATCCCCTTCCCCCTGTCAATCTCTTCAACAATCTAATCCTCTCCCCTTTCTTCTTCTCCATCCAACACAACAATACAGTACAAGAAGTCTACATTTTAAATCAACACATATAATGAGATCTGTTTGTATATGGAAATCTTGTTTATTTATTTATTTATTTCGTTCTCTCATTCTCTCATTCTCTCATTCATTCTTTCTCAACCCATCTACCTAGATAGGCACTATTCACAAATCCACACATAACCACTTAACTTTTCACTTAATCACCTACGTATGTACCCAACATTCCCTTGAAAACTTCAATCCCCCCATGCCTCCCATTCCCATTCACATCCCAAAATATATTCATCTATCCAGTCTTCTCACTCACACTCTCATTCTCATTCTCACTCTTATCCTATTTCTTCGACAATCTGATCCAATTCACATCCAAGCATCCGACTCTCATCTTCCACATGAAAAGTCAATCCAATCCACTTCTCATATCTCATATCATATCTCATGTTCACCTCTCCAGTATTTTCTCCTTCTTCCTCCTCCTCCTCCTTCCCCAAGCCCTCTCAAACTCAACCGCCCTCACCCCCTCCACCTCCACCTCCAACCTCCGACCTTCAACCCCCCCCCCCAAAAAAACTCAAAAAAAAACCACACCATACCTTCCCAATCCCGGGTATATATGCGAAACCAAACCAAACCATGCAACATGCAATATGCAATCCCAATCCACTCCAGTGAAGGAAACCCAAAAGTAAAAATGAACTTGAAAAATGCCAATGAAAATACCACTCCAATGTCTTGCTTGAGATATAGATAAAACGGTACTATAAACATAAAACGAAAATCCAATATATCACTCGACAAAAGAAGAAAAGACACAACGAAGAGGGAAAAGGAAAAAGAAAAAAAAAACAATCATAATATCACCACATCACCTTGCTCACTGAACAACCAGCCACGAATATCACAAATTCACTTACGCCATCCCATAACCTTGGAAAGCGTCAAAAACATAACATCACACGAATTCGTCGTTCAAAATGATATCGATCAACAGGTATTCGAAATGTAAACCACTGACTGAGTAATCCAGATAATGTTGAAGGTAAATGTTTGTTGAATATTCATTCCTATTTACAAAATAAAGTGTGTGTGTATAAAATAATCGGGATTTCGCATCCAGTTCCAGTCAAAAATCATCCATGGAAGTTACAAGCGAAACCGTCTCGTCGTCGTTTTTTTTTTTTTTTTCGATCGATCGATCACGGGCTCCCGATAGGCTTTCTTCCAATTCCTCTCAAACTCCAGAAGGGGGTATATCTCATTTAAAATAAAACACTCTTCTACCAGAGAGAGGAAAGAGAAAGCCTGACAGTTCAAGAATAGAAAATAGTTATAGGGTGTTTTTCTCCTTCTGCAATAGATTTATGCAGAAAGCATGTATGGGTCATTTGTACCCGTCTTGCCAGCCATGAGTAATCCCAATTCACGCATACGTTCAGCTCCCTTGCCAGGTTGAGGTCTACGCTCTGGTTGAGCTTTGCGTGCACGATTGGCGCAATGCTTTTGATAAAACTTCTCCTTTCGTCTTTGTCGCTTTTGCTCAAGACCTTTGACAATGTCGATTGCTCCTCGTAATGGTCCATCACCATCATCCTTTGCTGCGATCTCATTGGCTGCAGCAATGCGATTGGCAGTATATTGACGACAGAAGGCATTTGGTGTACGAGGAAGAGACTTGGTGTGAGTCAATCCTGGTCTAGATCCTAAAGGTGCGAACTTAATTGGCCTACTTCCACTTCCTGAAGGTGATCCAGGAGGAGAGTGGATTGCACGTGCTGGTGGTGGAGATCGTAAACGTTTTGGAGATTCATTGCCAAACAACTTGCGGGGAGGAGGCGATTGGAGACGCTTCTTTGGTGGTGGTGACTGAAGACGTTTCTTTGGTGGTGGAGACCGGAGACGCTGTTTGGGAGGTGGAGAGCGAAGACGTTGCTTTGGTGGTGGAGAATGTAATCTTCTTGGAGAGTGACCAGGAGATTTACGAGATCTTGAACGACGACGTTCCGAGTCAGAATCTTCGAACTTTCCTTGCATCCAAACATGTTCATCACTCTCGATTGTCTTTGCGGCATCGTCTTCCTCATCTTCTTCATCCTCGGGATCGGATGTTGGGAAAGATGGATCAATGTCTTGAGGAGTGGCAATGTGCTTGGCATATTTTCTGGCTGTCATGCAAGAAACATAAGCATCCTCAAGAGGACGATCCTCATCAAGTGTTCCACAAACAAAATCGGTACTATCAGGGAGATCTGGAGTTCCCGGGCGGATCTTAATGCTGTGAGTCTTCTTTGGTCTTCGCTTTCCTCTCGACAACTCTCTTATGGGAGCTTCGCCGTTGAGGGATTCGATGGATGATGCCGATGCAGTACGGTTGGCAGAGGCACGATAAGTGCTGATTTCAGTATTGATGATCGGGAAGCGAGCTTGTTCCAATCTGCCAGGTGTCCAGAAATTGAAATCGCCTTCGGTATCGTCTTCGTCATCGGAATCAGCGAAACCAGCTTCGTTATCGGTCTCATTTCCGTCAGTGAAATCCTCATCAGAGTAAACACGATCAGTCTCGTCATCCTCATCATCATCTTCCTCATCAGAGCCATCTTCGTTATCGGAGTCGTTTCCATCATCATATTCTTCGTCGTCATCTTCCTCCAAGGCTTCTTCCTCCGCTTCTGATCCCAGTCTGCGGATCTCGATCTCTTTGGCAAGGGTATCGTTGATAGTAATTCGGGCCTTTGGGACTTCTTCATCTTTACGGATCCAGTCATCCTCTTCTAGGCCTTCACTGCAGAATTCGTGGAATCGGGCAGCTTCAGATTGTAGATCCTTTTCACCGGCAATGACATACCTTGGCTTACATCTAATTGCAACGGGACTCTGAGATGCACGTCTGACAGTACCGGTGGATTCGCGATGAGGACGAAGAGAAGATGTAGGGGTAGGTCTAGGTTTTCTAGAAGTAGATGGCGATCGACTCGACACGCGTCTTCGTGCTGGTGGGGTATCTGCCAGAGCGATTGTCGAATAAGATGTTTTTTCGGTGATTTCAACCTTCTCTACAGGCTTTTCCGCGTGCTTTTCAGTGGGCTTCGAAGGACAAGCAAATTTAATGGTACATTTGCGTTTCAAAGCTTCGACAATAGGAGCTGCGGGTTCAAGAGGCTTCGCGACGGCAATCGCCGTTGGCTTGGGAGCGGGGTCCTTTTGCGCACCACAAGCGAAACTAATACAACGTTTCTTTGGAGCGTCCACGAGGGGTACCACTGGTGCTGCTTTCGGTGAAACGTGGAGTACTTCCGCGTGGACCGCGATGATTGGATCGGCCCCCTCATGAGATACGACTGGAGCAGGTGGAGGATATGCCGATTTCCGGCTCATCGAATAGTATGATGTATTTGGGAATGGCGGGCTTGGTGTATTTGTGCGAGCGGGGCTTGTAAAGCCTCCATCGCTAGTAAGCTCGGCGGTAGATGCGAGACTTGCTGTACTCATCATGGAACGTCGGCGCATTAGGTCGGTGGTAATATGTATATCAGGTTTTTGTGTCTCGGGTTCTGTGACATGTAAACCTCTTGTGATCAAGGATTCCGCGCGATCAGCTTGAGGACGAATGGGAGCTTTCGTGAATTCCTTTGCCTGTAGTTCAGGAGGTTCATCGACGTCTGCAGGTATTAATTCTTCGTCGCCAGTTGTCGACATATTTGAAGTGGACGTCGCTTGTGGACGCCACGTTAAGATATCTTGCCCCTCCATGGTAAAAATTGGATCGTGATTGGAGTTTAACGTGAATGTATAATTAAGTAGGTAATATAAGTAGGATCGAGTGTTGGAATATGGTCGCTCGGGAAAGGTTCGTTATATGTAAATGGGAAAGTGGTTTCGAGGTGGTTGTAAGACCTCGAATTGAAGAAAAAAGGTCGCGGTTTGTGGTTGAAGATGGTGAAATTGGAATGAAGTGAAACAATCGAGTACTCTTTAGAAGCCTCGGTGTATTGGGAATTGGTAATGAATCAAAAAAAGATAAAGGAAGTGATAATAATCTCGAGACGAAAAGAAGGAATTCGTCTTTCGAATATCTTTTCCGTTCTAAAGACAAAGGCCAAGGAGGACCGTTGAATTAAAGCGTCCCTGAGGGACCGTATTGCTATAATTGTGGAAAAAACATTGTATTCAAATCCAGTTGTTATTCCAGGTTACTGCGACGAAAGCAATAAAAGGAAAGGCAACCAAGGTGGTATCTTCTCTTCCTCGACGGAAGGAAGGATTGATTTTTGTTGTTGTTGTGGGTGGTGGTGGTAATATGGGGATGAAGTTGGTTTCCACCTGAAAGATTTTGATCGATGGTTCGTAAACAGACCTCTGCTTTGATTGGCGATGGAAGATAAAAGGTATCGAGTACCAAAGTATCAAAGTATCAAAAGTATCGAAAGAGGTGAAGGAGGTGAAG